AAATAACCAATAAACTAGTTAAAATCAGCTTTAAGTAATGCAACAAAATCAATGAGCTCTAAAACCTTTGATTTTATTTTCACCAGACTGTCTTTTCCTATGCAATGTACCTATTAGAGAGAGTATCAAGAAAACCAGTAATTATTTCCATTTGTCCATCACAACTTTTATTTATACTAAGTGTCTAGTTAGATGTTTACTTCCAAAACTATTTTTAGTATACTTTTTATATAAATCAGATTCCAGAGTCCCAATTTGTGATCTTTTAGCTAAAAATAAACAAAATCACAGATCTATTGAAAACAATAAGCAGTTAAAAATATACCTCAAAATGATGACAAAATTAGAACATAGGATAAAAAATAACAACTAAGCATGTATGTCTAAGTTTTTTCAAGAATTTAAAATACTACAAATCACATGTAAAATGTGAATAATAATAGACTGTATCAGTCCACAATATCTTGAAGCAGCATTAATGATTTAATCTAGTGATGGTGTAACCTTTAAAATTTAGTTAATCATACCACCCATGATGCCATTAGTACATAAAACAAATGGGATCTCCTCAGCAGACATCGACCAAAGCTATTGTCAGAGCCAAGCTTAAATACTGATCGCCCTGACTCAAGTGGCAAGTTGGGTTCGCCTGAGGGGTATCCTGCTGGCTCAACAGCAGATTTCTAGGAAAGGGCAGAGAAGATTTCTGACGACACAAATGGTCATCTGTTTTGTGAGTAGACTCATTCATTCATTCATTCATTCATTAAAAGATTATTTATTGAGCATCATGTATGTGCAAGGCATTTATGAAAGGTAAATGGTGAGCAGGCTATCACCAGATGGTGCATAAAAAATTATTAGCCTAAATAATTTTTTTAACAGAACAATGTTTCTAGCAACAACCAGTTGATTGAAAAAAAGAAAAACAACCTAACGTTCAAAATATTCAACTGGTATATTTTTTAGTCACCCTGAACCTGTGCCTATTTGTAATGTTCATTTAATTTATTTCCCTTCTCTGAGAGTTAAAAGTTACTCAGTTCAAAAAGAAATAATTCTGTCTTATATTCTCAATATGGTCTTTTCCACTTTTAGAGTTAGAAGAGAAAACGTACGTCCTAGTTTCTTTAGAACATTGGGTTGTGACTTTAGGTATCACACACCCTCCAAAAATTATATAAAAGTAGAATTAACACCATTTATGTTAAAGGTTTCTAAATTCAGGAGGTTTATTACTATCATTTAGAAAGTTTCCCTATTCTATTATTTTTTTTGTGTGTTAGGGGATCAAATACACCAAGAAATACTGATCGAGAGGAAAATGTATTAGCTACTGTGCTTTCATTCTAAATATCACTGCAAAATAAAAACAATGTGTTTGCCTGATTTATATTTTATTGGTAAAACTATTCGGTTGTGATAATGTTAAAAAAAAAAGTAAGTTTATTTTTTTAGCCACACCAAACCAAATATAGAAACTATACTACTAAAATATGTTTGGGTGTTTATAAAGTTAGTATTAAATGTATCTTTTCAATATATATAATTTTCAATTCTTTAAAGGTAATCTTACCTGAAGACTTCTGATTGTCTCTGTTTAATTTTTAATTCATGTTGCAAATGACTCAATTCTTTCTGCACTCTCTGAAATTCATTTTGTTGACTTTTTAACTGCATGCTTACATCTTGGATTCTAAAAATATAAACAAACATCAATTACAATCCTAAATATTCTCTCATGAGTACTTTCTTGAAATTTAAATACACTTCTAAGAAAAATAAGTAAAAGAAGAAAACCATGCATCTTTACATATACTATATGACTGTATAGAAAAAGTATGGAGAACACGTATCCAACAGCCATTACTCCTGGAGAGGTGAGTGGAACTGATGGGCAGGGAAAAGGGAAAGGATATTGAACAAAGGCATAACTTTTCCTTTCTATCTTTTGTACTGTTTGAATTTTTACAATGAACATATATTTTCACTTGAAATGCTAATTTAAATGTAACTAAACAAATGTTAATTTAATTTTTATTAGAGTAAGACATGCTCATAATTTAAAGGGTCAAATATTACTAAGAGTTATAAGAAAAAGTAGTAATTGTTTGCCTTTACCCCAATTCCTACTGCCCGAAACAACTACTTTCAACTTTTTTTCCTGTTTCTAATATTTACCTCTATATTACTAAATAACATGTTTACACTATTATTTCTTATTTCATTTTAGATATTATCTAGTAAATTGCAAATCAGTTAAAATATGGTTCTGCTACATATAACTGAGACCTAAATATGATGGCTCAATATACAAGGGTATGTTATCTCACACAAAACAAATGTTCTGGTAGCCAGTCCAAAGCTAATACAGCTTTACAACGTCATCAGGGCCCTAGATCTCCCCAACCCTCTGGTCTGCTGTCTTTGGCATGTGTCCTTTATTTTCATAGACCATGACAATGGCAGAAACTCCAACAATTAATTGCCCGTTGCAGACCAGCAGCAGGGGGAGAATAATGGCTCACTCTGTCCCTTTGAAGATTTCCTGGAAGTACCACTGAATAGTACTTCTGCTAAATGTAAATACATGGCAACACCTAGTTGCAAGTGAAGCTGAGAAATGTAGTCTTTTAACTTAGATCAGTCCCCAAATATATCCACAGTTCTATTACTAAGGAGGAAGGGAGAATGGATGTTAGGCTAGGCAGAGAGAAGTCTCGACCACAATCCTAATAAAAGTTGACCCTCCTACACATACCTACACACCTACACACACACACACACACACACACACACAGCCTTCCTTTCCTCATCTTCCCAATATATTGGGTTGTTGAAAAAGTCATGACGTATTTTTTTCTGTTTTTTGTTGCAAAAATGTGTCATGAATTTTCCGACAGCCCAATAATTTAATCAATCTTTTTATTCAGTGAGCCACATGTTATACCATGATCACATTTCTTTTCTTGTACAACTCTTTTGTTGTCCCTGGATTAAAAACCATCTCCTTTCCTTTCTTAATTTTCTGTTACCTATCTCTGACATTTCTCCCAAATATGATGGTGTAATTCTCCTCTCTCAGTACCTTCAGACAATCCTTCCATATCATTTATTTTCCAGGAGACAGACTTCCGAGAGCTCTCTATTCCCCTGCTTGTCTTGGTTATACTCTGGTTTGACTATACAACCGTCATGCTAAAACTTCCCTTCCCTATCGTTTCAGGAACTGTCCTTAGCTTTCATGTGAAATCGGTATCCTGGTTCTAAAGCCTTCCTCCTCGTTTTATTCCTTTTGGTGGAGTAAGTCTTCCAGGAGATTTTTGTGCATGGGAGGTAAATTTGAGACCATGAATATTTGAAAATGTATTTATTTTATCTCAGACTAGACAGTTTCACTGGATTTACAATCACAGATAAAAATATTCATCATCAGAAAATTAGAGCGCTTCCACTATTTCCTAACTTCCCGTGCTGCTTCTGAGAAGTCCAAGGACATTTCAATTCCTACTTCTTTGTATGATACATGGTAGGCCCTCTTGACTCCACCCCCACACCAGTTCAGAAGCTTTACAAATGTTCTCTTTTCCCTTTGTATTCTTAAATTTGAGCATCATCATGTTAGTCTTTGTCATTCTCTGTGCTGGGCAAGTGGTGAGTGTCTGCTTTGGAAACTGATGTTATTTAGTCCCAGGAATTTTACCCTAGAGAAAATGATTCCCTCCGCTTCCATTTTCTTTGTTCTCTTTCTGGAATATTTTTCTATTATTTTGGATATGAGATCTCCTGGAGATATCTTCTAATTTTCTTAACCTTTTGTTGTCATATTACCACTTTTGTTCCACTGTCATTATCTTCCATCTTGCCTATGAAATTTTTCATTTCTGCTACCATATTTTAATTTACCAAGAATTCTTTCTTATTTTCCAAAAGTTCCCCTTTTTACTACCCCTTGTTCTTGTTCATGGATGCAACTTCTTTTTTTTTTTTTGAGGATATCAATTGTAGTGTGTTTTTAAATTTTTCTTCAGCTCACTGCATTGATTCTGTTTCTTTTGTTTTTCACATTTGAGGCATCCCTCAATAATCTGAAGATCCTTTGTTATATTTACAAATGAGGCACTTAAAGGACAATTGATCCAGATTCTACGAGTTAAAGATGACAAAGGGAGAAAGGGGGAGGTTCTAGATAGAAGAGAAGCAAGAAAAGTGATAATCAAATATGAAATGCTGACTTGTATAGAATCAGATTCAAACAAACAAACAAACAAACTGTAAAACAATCTTTTTTAAGAATTGAGGAAATTTGATTATGTACTGAAAATTAGATAACACCAAGGGGCTGTTGCTTATTTGGGGATAATAATACTGTTGTTATGTAAGAAAATGGCACATCACACTGAAGTAAATAGGGATGAAAATAGCATACAGTCTTGGATTTGCCTTAATTACTTGAGCAAGCAAAAAAAAAGGACAGATGAAACACATATGACAAAATCTTGGTGATTTTTGAATCTGTGTTAATGGGTATTTATTATACTATGTTCTCTTCATAAAAATCTAATGAATGAGTCACTGAAATGCTGTCTGTAAGCTTCTGTGTGTAGAAAATGTTAAATGATGGGCTTTACTGTGGAATAACTAGGTGGGGAACTAGCTGCTTTGATAGCACCTAGGCCATCTGCCAGACCAAAACAAGATAATTATGAGTCTTAGGGTGGAAAGAGGTCCCGAAAGCCTAAATGCACCTTTAAAATATTTTTAATGAATCCTCCTATTTTCAGTCCTACTTTGTACCCTGACAAGTACTCCTCTTACCATAATAAGAGAAAAAAAAATCAGCCAAATGTTGTTTTCAGGAGTCACATCTAAAAAAAAATTTAACAGAGGAATGTAAAAAACAAAAGGTTTTGAAAATACATGCCAGGCAGATGCTTTAAAAATAATAAAAATATGTATTAATATTATAACTAGCAAAACATCAAATGTATCAACAATCCTTTCATTTTGATAAAAATTCCAATCTACCAAGAAAAATGATAATCATGAACTTTTATATACCCAAAATATAGCTTCAAATATATAAAGAAAAATCTGTTAGAAATCCAGTAAGAACAAATTACCGTAATAATCATAGTGGAAGGTATTAACACATTTATCACAGAAATGGAATGGTCACAATGATGAAAAATAGATAAAGAAATGACGAGTTTGGGCCGGCTGAGTGGCGCGTTGGTTAAGAGCTGGCTTGGGACGCCAGAGGCCCCAGTTCGGATCCCACATATGAGGGCCAGTGACACTGCCCTCTACAGCTAAGATGCTGAACAACAGCTCAACCTGGAGCTGGGCTGCTGTGAGTTGCCGGTGATGGCTAGTCTGCAGCCCCTGCTGCAGTGGGTTGCCATGGGCTACTGTATGTAGCCAGCAGCCATCGTGAGCGGCCAGCAGCCGCAGTGAGCGGCTGTCCAGAAGCCGGCGACTGATCTGCCTCGCCCGGGAAGAGCGCAATGATGGTGCCAACTTGGGCCAGTGAAGCAACGTCCTCCACAACTAGACTGTAGAACAGAACGACAGCAACTTGTCTGTTGCCCTTCCCTCAATTCCCCAGCGCTGTTCCCATCCCCCAATTCCCCAATAAAAATCTTAAAAAAAAGAGAAACTGGGAGTTTGACTAACAATTAAGAAGCTTAATACTGTGTGTGTGTGTGTGTGTGTGTGTGTGTGTGTGTGTGTGTGTGTATATATATATATATATATATATAGTTGAAATTTATATCTAATAATCATTTCTTCCAAACACATGATGATATAATCATAAAAACTGACCATGTAATCAGCCACAATTCAAACATTAATATACTCTTAAAAAGAAAAAAACAACAACCCCACATACCCACATTCATTGCCCACAATAAATTTACATGAAAAATTTACAACAAAAAGGTAGTAAAAAAACCTACAAACATGGAAACTTAAACATACATCTAATAAACCTTGGGGCAAAAAGGAAATAAAAATGGAAATTATAAACTATCTAGAAATAAATGATAAGAAAAACACTATATCTTCAAGTACTTGGAGGAAAACTTATAGCTGTAAATCCACCTATTAAAAAGCAATAGGTGGGTATTCTGAATGTCATGTTCCAGGAGAAAGGTACAAATGACAAAAACAATGAATGCTCAGAAGCAAGGTTAGCCCAGTAGCAATGCCCATATCTTGGTTTTTAAATACCATCTCCAATAAAAGAAACCAAGGCATCTTAGAGAACTGCTTGAATATAGGGTTGCGGCAGGGAAAATTTAAGATAAGCCTAGAACGTTTTGTGGTGCCAGAAAGTAAGGAAGAACTCAAAGGGAGATAGGGACATGTTGAAAGGGCACAGGTGCCACCTGAGAGAGCTCCCCATGGCCCACCTAAAACAACTGAGTAACAAAATAAATAGCTATAGTGCTGGATTATAACCCACAAAATAAAAGTGAATGAGTCCACACTGATAGTAATAAATCACTGACTAGATAAATAGGTGTGAGATAAGAACCTTTTCTTCCTCACAGAGAAATTTCAACTAATAAATGTAGAAGGAATGAGGGAAAGAGAAAACCATCATTAGAAGAGCACATAATAACTACTGCAGGCAAAATCTACTGATATTTGCTTAAAAAGTGGGTGAAAGTTTGAAGAGAAACAGAGTAT